TCTTTACCAAATTGGATCTCAGAAAAGCATACTATTGAGTCCACATCAGGGAGAGAATGGAAAACAGCATTCAACTGTCCCCTAGGAACCTTACAATTCAAGGTCATGCTTTTCGGACTACAGGGCCCCCCAGTGGTGTTCATGCAGTTAATAAACAAGGTGCTACATGAACATCTTTATAAGGGGTTCTTGTCTACTTAGACAACATTCTCATCTACACTGAGACAATGGATGACCACATAACCCTAGTCCACCTGGGAGAACTTCTGTATGTCAAGCTGTCAAAGTGCTAATTTCACAGTTTGACTACCTGAGCTACTGAGTCTCCAATGAGGGCATAGAGATGGACCCAGCCAAAGTACAAGCCGTTCTGGGCTGGCAGCCCCCTTGTACCCACAGACAGCTACAAAACTTCTTGGGGTTTGGAAACTTCTACCAACAATTCATCCCCTCCTTCACAAGGATTGTCAAACCCATAATAGATCTCCTAATGACAGGGAGTTCAGGAATGAAACCATGCCCAGGACAACCCCTACAGTGATACCTAACCTGCCAAAAAGCATTTGAAACACTGAAAGAACTGTTTGCAAAAGAACCAGTACTGAAGCATCCTGACACCGAACAACCTTGAATCATTCAAGTGGACTCCAGTGATGTGGCAGTGGGAGCAGTGTTACTCCAAAGAAACAACCAAGGAAGCCTACATCCCTGTGCCTACACTTCCCGCAAGCTCACAGACACAGAGAGACAATGGGCTGCTTGGGAAAAAGAGGTTTTTGCAGTGAGATGGGCATTGCAAACATGGTGCCACCTGCTGGAAGGGGGGCAAAGACCATTCAAAGTCTGGACTGACTATAAAAACTTGGAAGCCCTTAGGACCCCGTGAAAACTATCACCCAAACAAGTCTGATGGGCTCAATACTTCAACCATTTCGACTTCATGCTAAAACACATCCGGGGGAGAGGAACTTTATGGCTGATGCCCTCTCCTGCATGCCCCAGTGCAAATGCAAAAGGAAAGAGGTCATAAACACCATCATCCCCCCTACCCAAATTGCCCAAATAACCACCAGACAACAATGCCGTGATCAGCAAGACCAACCCACAGATGACCTTATGAAACTCAAAACCAAACTGCTGGCAGAACCCTGGTTCTGAGACAATCAACACACCTTGACCAAAAGAGATAACCTGGCATGGAAGGTGACAAAACTCTATGTCCCAGAATCCCTATGCACCCTAGTTCTTCAGAGGAGCCATGATGCCAAACTGGCAGGCCACTTTGGGTTCTTAAAGACTTTACACTTGGCTCGGAGGCAGTTCTGGTGGCATGTCATAAAAAAAGATGTGGACAGTTATGTGAAAAGTTGCACCATCTGCACCACGATGAAAAAATGACCAGGAAACCCCCCTGGACTGCTACAAACGGTAGTGGAGCCAACAAGGCCATGGGAGGAGATTGCAATGGAGTGGAGTTGCCAAAAAATGGGGGAAACACAGTGATCTGGACTGTAATAGACTTATTTTCCAAACAGGCACATTTCATATTTTGCAGCAGACTATCCTCAGCCCACCAATTAGCCACGCTGCTCCTGAAGCACATCTACCACCTGCATGGAATATCATGGAGAATTATCTTAGACAGAGGGGTCCAATTCATGGCCAAATTTTGGAGGGAGTTCTTGTGGTCTATTGGGTTGTACCAGAGTCTTATCTCGGTCTTTCATCCAAGCACCAATGGGGAGGCAGAGAGATTGAATGCCATGTTAGAGCAGAACCTGAAGTGCTACGTAAATGATCAGCAGTCCAATTGGGCAAACCTCCTGCCTTTTGCAAAGGTTGCATACTATAATGCTGTTCACAGTAGCATGGGACTAACCCCCTTGAAGGTAGTGAGTGGCATGTACTTTGTCTCAATGTCTGAGTATCCAAGGGACACCCCCCTTTCAGTCAGCCTGACCGATTGGATGACAATACTGAAAGCAACTTGGAAGAATGTCAAAAAAGCACTGGCAAAAGTGGCACAGACCTATAAGAGACAGGCAGACAAACACCAAATATCTGAGGTTAAGGCTCCATAGCAAGAAATTGGGGCCAAAGTTCATGGAACCATTCCCCATAGTAAAGATCAATAACCCAGTCATGGTGCAATTGAAGTTGCCCCAATTGTTAAGGAAAATACACCCAGTATTCCATAGTAGCCTATTAAAACCCATGGTTGGATCAACGCTGAGGCCCCTACCTTGTGAGATCCCAGATCCCATGGTCATAGGAGGCCAAATCCATTATGAGGTGCAGTGAATCCTTGATTCGAGGTGGCACAGGAGACACTCCAATATTTAATCAAGTGGAAGGGCTACCCCTTATCAGAGGCATCATGGTAAAGTGTAGGAATGTCCAAGCCAATTGCCCTGTAGCAAGGTTTCATGGAGAAAATCCAACCAAGCCGGGGGGGGGGGCGTTCCATATCTGCAATCAATTTGTTTTTGTGTGTGTTGTACAGGTCACCTTCAAGAAGTGAGGGGAGCTGAATGTCAACCGAAAACATTTTGTATACAGGTTTTATAGTTGACAACAGAAAGAAGGGGAGAGTTTCAAAGAGCAGGCAGCAGTGTGGAATTGAAAGTACATTCCATTCATATTTTCTTCAAAGACTGATTAGATGACTGAAGCTTTTGCCATGCAAAAATCTAATTGGAGAGCATGACTGATGACCCTTAGCTATGGACATTTTTCATTGGATGATATACCCAAGGGGGGGAGCAGGATCAAGGGTGACAGTGAATTACATATCTCAGAGTTGGCTACGCCCAGGTTAATACCGGATGTAGAATGTTAACTTCAAATAAATCTTTTTTAGTTTTGGGAGTGTGGCTCGAGGCTCATGATTTCATTGGAGTAACTGCCGGAATCCTGACAGATACTTTTAAAATCATTATATAAGAAACTCACTAATACCTGTATAGAAAAAGTAAAATTGAAAATATATTCAAAAATTCCAGAATGGCTCTCAACAATGGAACCTTTTACATACCCAAATCTGGTGAAACTTGAAAAAATGTGACATATAAAGATATTTTGAACTTGGAAGGGAAATTAAAATCAAAGCAAAAGCTTGAAGACCAGGACATTAAATTACCATGGTGGCCTCAATAGCAAATACAATCTGGATATGTTTTAGATATGAAAAAGTATGGTTTTTATAAACACCCTTATTAAACACTGTGGAATTTGGAAGACAAATTAATCGAAATGATTTATAACTTTTTACTAAATTTGAAAATGGAAAATGTACAAGTAAAAGATACAATGGTACAGTGGAGGGGGGGGAATTTTAGTCATAATATAGGATTTAAGAATGGCAAACTTGATGGGAAAAGAATTATAAATTAACAATTAGCAATTTCGTATAAAAAAAACTTACATAAAATGTTTTATAGGTGGCACTTACCACCAGCTAGGTTAGCTGAAATGTTTAAAAATATGTCTAGCAAATGTTGGAAATGTAATAAAAAGAACGGGTGCATACTATCATATGTGGTGGACATATGTGGTGGGTGAAATTTTTGGGGGGGGAAATACATAAATGGCTAGAAAAGATGATTGGAAAGCATGTAGATCTTCAACCTGAACTATTTTTACTAGGTATAACATCAGGTAAACTTGATTTTAAAAAGTATGTATTTAATATTACATGTCTTGACAGCAGCAAGGATTGTATTTGCGCAAGGCTGGAAAAATGAAGAAACACCACAAGATGAAGAAATAATTAAGAAGATACTAAAGTGCAGAAATTGACAGACTGGCATTAAAAATGAAACAGAAAGAAGATACAGAATATTACCAAACATGGAATTTATTTTATCAGGGGTTGGAAAAAAGGGGTTGAGATTAAGAACATTGTTAGATCTGGGAGGATGGTTCAAGAACGGAGGCAAGACTCAGATAGCAACAACAGCTCTTTATTTGTGACTTCAGATCTGAGCAACAGCCCCTTATATAGGGCTGGCTGAGGCTAGGCAGCCAATGAAGGCGATTTGAGTTTGCCGCTCTTGGCAGGGCCAATCACGGCAGCCTGTTTACTGGCCAATCGCATCAGTCTATGGCGACCAATCACAATCAGCTATCAGTGGGCCAATCAGAGTTGCAGGCTTTCGAGCCTGCTAGTCCGGAACACCCCTCCCCTCTTGGTTCTGTTTAAGGGGTGGAGTAATATAGTCTCGCAGGTAGGCAGGTCTTCGCACCTTTCTACCTGACTTACGCAATTCCAATTGTTCATGTTCAAATTCAGGTTCAAATGGACTGCTTGCTGGATCAAGCAGGAACGGTGAACCGGTGCCATGGTCAGGGCTCTCCTCTGGTGCCCCCGGGGTGATAGAGTCCTCAGCTTCGTTGCTACTGCCATGGCTCCCCAGGCTCGCTGAACCTGCCTGGCTGCCGTTTCTTGGCAAAGTGTTCATCTGCCCAGGCTCAGCTACAGCTGGTGAGCGTTGCAGGCTATGGTGTAGTGATCTCGGTGTTAGTTCAGAATAAACAGGTGTTGGTTCTAATTCTGAGTTCACGGCTTCCCCTCCCCCCCTGGTGTCAAAGTTAGGGTCAGGGGTGGAAGTTGTGGTCAGTCTGGAGCGTAGCTGGTCAATATGGTGTTTCCATGCCCTGCCATCAGTGGTGAGTAGACGGTAGGAGTGGGGACCCGTAACTTGAGTTACTTGAGCAGGAATCCAGAGGGGATCCCCAGAAAATTTTTTTGAGAATACAAGGTCTCCTACCTTAAAGGCACGGTGCTTGCTGCTGGAACCCAGGGGCTTTTCCAGGGTGTAGGCAGGGTGCAAACGGTCTAGAGGCGATCTAAGTTTCCTGGCCATCAGGAGTTCAGCTGGGCTCTTGTTGGTCATGCTGTTTGGTGTGATGTGTTGCAGGAGCAGCATTCTAGTGACTTTGTCGTGGATGTTACCTTGTTCCATTTTCTGTAGGGTTTTCTTTGTAAACTGAACCATTCGTTCAGCCCTACCATTCGCCGCAGGATGAGCTGGCGATGTGATTGCATGTCGGATGCCCCGTTCTGCTAAATACTGTTCAAAGGCTAAGGCAGTAAATTGGGGCCCATTGTCAGAGACCAGGACATCTGGTAGGCCATGTGTGGCAAAGAGTCTGTTCAGTTTTTTGATGACTGCCTCAGTAGTGGTTGCTTTCATTTTATTGACCTCAAGCCAGTTAGAATACGCATCTATAGTTATTAAGAAAGTGTGGCCTCTCGTAGGTCCCGCAAAGTCAATATGAATGCGAGACCAGGGACCTCTGGGTGTTTCCCATTCTGCTGGTGGAGCTTTTGGTGGGGCTGAGTGGTTTTCCTGGCATCTGTTACAAGAGGTGACCCAGGTTTCGATTTGTTTGTCCATACCTGGCCAGGTATGGACAAACAAATCGAAACCAGGCATAACTTCTTGCCAGCGCTTTCATATGCACAATGCCTGGGTGTCCATTGTGTAGCATTTGCAGGATCCTTTTTTGTAACTTAGTTGGTACAACAACTCGGTCTCCCCACAATATGCACCCTCTTTGTGAAAAAAGTTCTGTTTGTCTGTTTTTAAATGGCTTAAATATTTCCTTAGGGTCATAATCTGGCCATCCCCTCTCCACCCAGCCAAGAACTCGTGCCAAACAAGAGTCTCTTTTGGTTTCAAAGGCGATGTCTTGGGCCGTTAGTGGAGGTGAGGGCATTGTCTCTATTTGAAGTACTGGGAGCGTGGGAGCTGGGTTTTCCTGTGGCTCAGGTAGTGGTGAGCGGCTCAAGGCATCTGCGTGAGGAATAGATTTCCCCGGGCAATACTTTAATTGATAGTCGTAGGCAGTGAGAAATTCCGACCATCGCGTCATTCTGGGGGAGAGAATGTGTGGAGTAGGTTTGTCGCCCGCCAGAATCCCAAGTAGTGGGTTATGATCCGTTATAATAGAAAATGGTCTCCCATAAACATATTCATGAAACCTTTTAATTGCAGAGACAATAGCAAGGGCTTCCTTATCTAAATGGCTATAGTTTCTTTCTATTTTTGATAGAGTTCTTGAAAAAAATGCAATTGGTGCCTCTGAGCCGTTTGGTAGGACGTGGCTCAGGGTGGCCCCCACCCCAAATGGCGAGGCATCACAAGTAACAGTCAAAGGAAGTGTCTCATTATATTGAATTAGTACTGCTTTAGAGGTAAGGAGGTCTTTTACTTGCTGGAAGGCGTGTTCCTCCTGACGTCCCCAAATCCAGGAGGCCCTTTTATCGAGTAGTCTATGAAGGGGCTCAGCAACAGTCGCCTTCTGGGGTAGGAAGATGTTATAAAAGTTAATAAGTCCCAGGAAGGCTTGGAGGTCAGTTTTGTTTTTGGGTCTTGGGGCATTTTTGATAGCTGCCAATTTCTTTTCTGTAGGGTGGATTCCTTGTTTGTCAAGGAGGTAGCCAAGAAACTCCACCCTTTCTGTGCAAAGCTGGCACTTTTCCTTCTTAACCCTGAGGCCAGCATCTTTGAATCTCTGTAGGACTGTTCTGAGGCGTTTCTCTAATTGACTTTTTGTGGGTGCTGCTATTAATACATCATCAAAATAGGGCATGACCCCTTTTATACCTTGTAATAGTCTCTCCATCAGGCTTTGAAAGATGCCTGGGGCTACGCTTACGCCAAACTGGAGTCTGTTGCATTTGAATGCACCACGATGTGTGACTATAGTTTGGGCTTCTGCAGTCTCGGGATCAACTGGCAGCTGTTGATACGCTTGGGCCAGATCTAATTTTGTGAATATTTTGCCACCCCCAAGTGAATGCAGGAGATGTTGAACAACTGGTACTGGGTAGGCGCTCTGCTGTAGCGCGTGATTGAGGGTGGCCTTGTAGTCACCACAGATTCTTATGGACCCGTCAGGCTTTATGGGGGTGACAATTGGTGTCTCCCATCGGGCGTGGTCAATGGGTTCTAACACGCCCTGTGCAATTAATTTGTCCAGTTGCTCATCAATTTTGGATTTGAGAGCAAAGGGAACTCGGTGTGGCTTTAGGCGAATAGGTGCAATGTCGGGGCGAAGATTAAATGAAATAGGGGACCCCTTGTACTTGCCTAGGCTTTCGTTGAACACTTCTCGGAAGTCGTGGACAAGGGCTGCCTCCCAGTCATCGTCTTCAGTATGATGGATGCCAGCCATTCTGATTCCTAATGGCGCGAACCACTGAAGGCCCAGTAGACTTGGGCGGTCTCTGTCTACGATGGTGAGTGGTAGAATTGCATTATGCCCCTTGAAAGAGACCTGGAAATGGCGGGTACCTGCGACTGGGATCCGGTTGCCTTGATAGTCTTTCAGTATGAGTCTCTGACTGCTGAGGTCTTGGCGTCGGATGTTGGGAATCAGCTGCTTGAGTGTTTTCCAGGATACCATGGATAGTGATGACCCAGAGTCGACTTCCATGATGCATGGTTTGTTTTCAATGGTGACCTTTACTCGGATTTTTTTAGCGTCAAGTGATGAAGCGTGGCCGATGGTGATGGTTTGATGAGCCTCCTCTCATCTGGGTGTGCCGTTAAACCTTTGGGGTCTGCTGTACTGGTTCCACTGGTTGCTAGGGCGGTCCCTCTGTGTGGTGGAGTTGCCATCATTCCTCTTTGGGCTGCTCCCTCTCCGTCTGGGGCTGGAATTTCTCTTGTTTCTGCATACCTTCGCAATGTGCCCTCGTTTCTTGCAAAAATGACACATGGCGTCTAAAAGTCTGCATTCGGATCGAGGATGGTTTCCCCCGCATCCAGCACATTGGTAGTTGGATTTATGACCCCGCTGGTCTCGTTGCTCGCGTTCTGACTGGAGTCTGTGGACTTCTTCCTCCTTGCTGTCTGAGGATGACTCGACATCTTCATGATGGGTGGTTGATGTGTACTTGTCTGGAGGTTTCCCAGCATCGTTGGTGGGTTGGCGGTTGGTTCTGCTGGTTCGACGCATTTGTGCTGCTGATTTACAAGTGGCTTCAGCTGCGGTGGCATCTGCTATGGCATCTGCAAGCGAGATGTCTCCCTTGGCCATGATCTTGCTCTGGACGGTTGGGTCTCTGAGGCCAAGGATGATGCGGTCTCTCATGGCTTCTTCGAGATTGGTGAAGCCACATAAACCGCCCAGATTCCTCAGGTCTGCCACAAAATCCCCAATGCTCTCACCTTCATGCTGGTCCCTCTGGTAGAACTTGTGTCTGCGAATGAGAGTTGGCATGGCTGGGGCGTAATGGTTGTGCAGGATGGGAGCAAGGGTGTCCCAATCCATGGTTTTAACCTCAGCTGGCTTCGCTAAGGCTTTAGCCATCTTAAAAACGGCTGGCCCACAATGGGTTAGAAAAACGGCTTGTTTCTTGCTGGGCGTGGCATCTTTGAGGTTGTTGGACTCCAGGAACATTTGAAATCTGTCCATATATGAGTCCCAGTCCTCGCTAGCTGGATCAAATGGGGCGGGTGGTATAGCGCTGCTGGCCATGTCGCCGTCGTTGCGCTCTGTCAGCCACGTGCTCCTTCAGCTAGTTCAAATCAATAGAATTCGTTGCCTCCGCATCCCATCCTCGTCGCCAGTGTTAGATCTGGGAGGATGGTTCAAGAACGGAGGCAAGACTCAGATAGCAACAACAGCTCTTTATTTGTGACTTCAGATCTGAGCAACTAATCCTAGCCACAGCAGCCCCTTATATAGGGCTGCCTGCGGCTAGGCAGCCAATGAAGGCGATTTGAGTTTGCCGCTCTTGGCAGGGCCAATCGCGGCAGCCTGTTTACTGGCCAATCGCATCAGTCTATGGCGACCAATCATGATCGGCTATCAGCGGGCCAATCAGAGTTGCAGGCTTTCGAGCCTGCTAGTCCGGAACAAACATATTATGTATTGTTAAACAAATTAAGTACCCAGACAACATGATGTGAATTAAGCACTAAGACATTTAATTAATAAAAATTAATTAAAAATACTTTATAATGCAAGTTCTAATATAATTAGATTTTTGGTTTTTGGTTGTAGTAAATTTTTAATGTTGTTGATTTTTGTACAAAATCTTGAGATTCTTTCAGATAATTGTATATCTGGAAAAGGTGCATAAATAAGATGCCCTTGGAAATGATAGCGATGGGAATATTTTAACTGGTTTTAGAATTCATTCAAAGATGTAAGAAGTGAAACCCATGCAGGACGTTTGGCATTTGCCAGAGAACACCAAGATTGGAAAATTTGCCACTGGTGCCCTGTGCTCTTCACAGATGAAAGCAGGTTCACACTGAGCACATGTGACAGATGTGACAGGGTCTGGAGATGCAGTGGAGAACGTTCTGCTGCCTGCAACATCCTCCAGCATGACTGGTTTGGCAGCGGGTCAGTAATGGTGTGGGGTGGCATTTCTTTAGGGGGCTGCTGGTGCGGTTGACCCTGGGTTCCTCCTAATGCAAGACAATGCTAGACCTCATGTGGCTGGAGTGTGTCAGCAGTTCCTGCAAGACGAAGGCATTGATGCTCTGGACTGGCCCACCATTCCCCAGACCTGAATCCAATTGAGCGCACCTGGGACATCATGTCTCGCTCCAACCATCAATGCCACATTGCACCACAGACTGTCCAGGAGTTTGGGGATGCTTTAGTCTACGTGTGGGAGGAAATCCCTCAGGAAACCATCCTCCACCTCATCAGGAGCATGCCCAGGCATTGTAGGGAGGTCATACAGGCACATGGAGGACACACATACTACTGAGCCTCATTTTGCCTTGTTTTAAGGACATTACATCAAAGTTGGATCCCAGCCTGTAATGTTTTTTTCCACTTTAATTTTGAGTGTAACTCCAAATCCAGACCTCCATGGGTTGCTAAATTTGATTTCCGTTGATAATTTTTGTGTGATTTTGTTGTCAGCACATTCAGCTATGTAATGAACAAAGTATTTAATGAGAATATTTCATTCATTCAGATCTAGGATGTCTTATTTTTGTATTCCCTTTGTTTTTTTGAGCAGTCTATAAATTGAGCTGTTAAACTGCACAAGTAACTGTCAGATGGAAAACATAAATGTTCACCTAAACAAGCAATGCATGAGAATGAGTATTGCCTCTCCTAGTTTCCTGTGAATTATTAAATTAGGCTGTTGTAACATATCAGATGTCACACTAAATTATCATGATTTTATATATATTTGGAAAGGGAGGAGACAGGTCTTTGTGAATCAATGAAGTTGCCTTATTCCCCATGTCTTTGGCTCATCTAGTTTGGTAGTGCCTATCTTAATTGGCAGCAGCTCCAAATATTTTTTGTAATTTCTTCAATTTTAACCTCCTTGCATTAATTTGTATAATTTTTAATGTAATAATGAATATTCTTGTTGCTGTTATGTGGAATTTTTATTAGTTGAATCATGTGTTTTTTGGTCTATCAATTGCCATTTCCAAGTTGTGAACTAAACATTATAAGAAGCATTAGCAACTATTCTTTTTTCTCAACTGGCCTTTGAGAATTGGTGATCTGGGAAGCAGAACTTTTTTTTTTTACATCCAAGGTCCTCTTGACCAAACAGTACTGATGATGATAGTCAGTGGTGGGATTCCAATTTTTTAACAACAGGTTCTTTGGGTGTGGCTTGGTGGCCATGTGACTGGGTGGGTGTGGCCAACTCAACATCACTTCTTTACCCTAATGACTGTTTTAAGTATACAAAAAATTTATTATTTCATGCATTTAATGCTTAAATAAGAAAAAAGGTGCACAAAATTAGTTTTTGTTACAAGAAAGAGTTTTAAACTCTTTCTCGTAACAAATCAAAATTAATCAAAAACTATTAGATAATATTTGACAAAAAACAATAAAACTGTTATTTAGGGTATTACCAAGTTGCTGTTTTATTGGCATCCTCACTTTCACTTTTCCTCATTTTTACTCAAGCATTTACTCAAGCATCATCGGCTGTGTGATTTACTCTCAACCATTTTTTGACTGTAGGAAGAGGATCCCATTCTTGTAGGGGTAGGCCAATTAGATTAATGGTCATTAGCTTTGTTATACTGGAAAGTTAGATGACTTCTGCTCTCTGAACATGTAATGTTCATTTGTGAAAAACCCCTTTCCACTTCTGCTGAATTTATAGCAATTGTTCTGACAATATCCTTAGGTTTTTTAAATACTGTCAGGAATTTCATATTTCTCAGAATCTTTTAAAACATTTTCTATAAACTCTCAATAATCATTAGTATTAATTTTGTAATTAAAAATGTCACTAAATGCAAGCAATTGTTCTTCATCTGCTTTCCATGAAATTACTACTTCATCAATATTCCAGTAATCTGGCTCCAAAAAATTGAGAAATTGTAATTTATTCATGTCTTGAAATTGAAATTGGCTACCTGTTTTAAATGTTCATAATCCATTAGTCTTTTCTTCAAATGTGTTACGATGCTTTCTAAAAGTCTTTCCCGAGGAACGCCAACAAATCAATGATTTTCTACAAATTTTATAGGTTTCTGAAGTAATTAATCCATCAACTTTTTTTCCTTATGTACCCTTTTCCTGTCTAAACATTTCAAGGTTCTTATCATACGTTTTTCAGCCTTTATGATGTCTACATTTCTTGCTTGCTGTACATTAGAAAAAAGAGAAATTTCATTTAGAATAGGAATCATCAATGCCAAATGTCATAAAATATATATTTTCAAGACAGGCAGCCATACCTAAGTATTTTATTTGAATGAAAATAGTAATGTAGCATTGGATAAGCACATTCTTCTAACTAAACTAAATCAGCTAGCAGTACCTGAACACCCTTGTAAGTGGATCATAAGTTTCCTAACAGACAGGAAGCAGCAGGTGAAACTAGAAGTAGAGAACCTGTTTGTCTGGTGTTCACAGAACAATCTGTCACTGAATGTCCATAAAACCAAAGAACTGATTATGGACTTCAGGAAACATGGACAGGACCACGCCCCACTCATCATCAATGGAGAATGAGTGGAAACTGTCCCTATGATCAGATTCCTTGGCATCCATATTTCAGCTGATATCTCCTGGTCCCCTAACACCAAGGCCATAGTGAAGAAGGGTCAGCAGCAGCTGCACTTCCTATGGGTTCTCAGGAAAAACAATCTGGATAAGAAGCTGTTGCTGGCTTTCTATAAAGCCTCTGTGGAGAGCACTCTGACATATTGTCTGGGTGTGTGGTATGCAGGCTCCACAGTTGAGGACAGGAAAACTGTACAGAGGGTGATAAACACAGTTCAAAAGATCATTGGTTGCCCTCTGCCCTCCCTGGAAGACTTGGCCAGGTCCTGCTGCCAAAGCAGAATCAAGAAGATAGAAGACCCCTCACACCCTGGCAAATATCTTTTTGACCTGCTGCCATCTGGACTGTGCTTTAGGTCAATAAAATCCCACACCACTAGACTAACAATAGTTTCTTTCCCTGGGCCATCCGAACTGCAAATAAATACGAAGTCACTACTTTATTAAGATGTGAAAAG